ACACAGTCAATTTTTTGATGTGCTCACTGCTCTGATTACCCTTCACTAAGAATGGCATAGACTACAGGGAAATAAAAATGTTTTAAGCTCTGCTATGATTTAAAGATAGAGTCAAGATAAAAATGGAATTATGATGTATGCAAGAAGCTTTTAGAGGGCCTGCAGAAAGGGTCCCAAGTTTAAATGCTTTTAGTGGACAAACTGCTAACAATATCTCTCCATGAAAATGCAAGATACAAGGTGTTAGAGAATGGTAAGGTAAGCCTGGGGATCTTTACAATTTATCTGATTAATGGGTAATATAATTTGCATATATGCAATACAAATTCAATCAATAAAGAAATATTTTGACAGACAAGGTCAAGGTATCATCCCTAGACCAATATTAATATACTTAGGTATTATTAGCTTTGATATAAAAGTTATATGAGACTCTTGGACAAGAATTTGTCACTGATTCAGATCAACACATGGCATTCTGTTTAACAGAAAGAATAGCATAAAGATTTCTCCTGAAAGAAGGTGGGCTCAGTCTATATATGGGAAAAAAGTTGTTGTCCAAAGATGAGGAAAGCTTACATAGCTGTAGAGTCTGGCTGTCACAAGAAATTGGGACACTATGCTTAAATACAGAAATGAGTGTCTGTCCTACATATTGCAGACTAGCCTATAGGGCAACACACTTAGACAGTAACTAGAAAAATAGGCAAAGTATTTTAACGAGACTTCCCTGGTGGTGCCAGGATGTACAGAATGGAAGCAGGCTCAGCTATGCTCAGGGTCCTGAGGGGGGGATCAAGGATGAGATAACACATAAAAGCCAAGAGAGAGCAGCTATATTCTAGAGAGAAACTGGTCTGAGGAAACTTACTAGACAGCCAGCCTAAAATGAACAACAGATACAGAGATCTGGCCTGATAAAAGGAAGCAGCACTAAGTTAGTCTGGGTTTTCTGGAGAGACAAAACCAGTAGAAGTAATGGATACATTTATTATGAAGAAAGGTTTATTACATTGGCTTATACAATGAGGCTGGATATCCAACAATGTCTGTCTGGCTAGAGAGGCTTAGAATCTAGATGCTTCTCAGCCCACAAACCCAGATGTCTCAGTTGTTTCAATCAGGTGCTGAGGGCCTGAAGAGTTCCTGGAGAGCCATTCACCTTCAGTCCCTGTTGGAAGGTGGAAGAAACTAGGTTCTGATGTCAGCAAAGGATGGCAACAGTAACAGCAGCAGTAGCAATGCGGTAGATGCACTCACCAGCAAGAAGCAAAAGCTGGGACTGGTGGTATGGCTCAGCGGGTAAAGACACCTACTGCAAAGTCCAATACCCTGAGTTTGATCCACTAGTACCTATAAAGTAGAAGAAGAGGATCATCTCCCCAAACTTGCCCTTTGGCTTCTACATGCATACTCTGACACATGTGCAACACATATACTCACACACATAATAAACAATAGGTAAATAAATGCACAAATAAAGTAAACACAATCCAAGCAGCACTAATTTTTATTGCTGTTTTATATCTAGGTGGTTACTAGAAGGCACTGTCCCTTCTGGGAAGGGTCTCCTTCCCTCAGTTAAAACATCCTGGAGATATCCTTACAGATCTAGCCACAGACCTGTCTCTTACATGATTTCTGATTCAGTCATGCTGACAAACAAGACTAGCCCTCATAGGCTCTAAGAAATTCAGGGCTCCCTTAAAGAAGATCTTTAGATAGGCTGACTGGACTACAGTGGATAGACTTACACTGAAGGACATCTGGGTGCAAATGCTTGATCAGAAAGGACTTAACATATATGACAGAATATATGAACTCTGATGGGGTGCAGGTGTGGGAGGGGGTCTCAATTTGATGATGATCTATTATAGGAAACGCATAAAAACTCAATAAAAATAAAACTCAGGGCTCTTCCTGACACTGCACATCCTACACTTAACTGAAACACAATTTAATTCCAAGTTCTTCTTGAGACTTTAGCACCTTCCAAGATGCTTGCTGAATCAATGAGGATTGGCTAGGAGCCTGCAGGGCATGTGGGGTGCACATAGAGCACAGCAGTCAGGGCACTTAAGGTAGATGGAGGGAAGAGACTGACCCAGGGGAAGAGTTGCAATGGCATATACGGGAGCTGAAGTGCCAGATAGCGAAATGGGGAAAGTGGCAGAAATATGGAGCATGATTTGATAAGCCCAGGCAACATTTTTTGTTGGTTTAAATCTGCTCACAAAGCTCTTTTTCTTTTTTGTTTTTTTTCAGCTCTGAGGGGGAAAAATATCAGATGCTCACTATAATGTTAACTTGACAAACCAGCTTGTCCACATGAAGTCTGTTTCTCATCTAATTCCTTTTTGTGTCATGGGAAGACTGATATTGCAAAGATAAATTGAAGTGTTCGCATGGGGCTCAGAGATTTGTGGCTCTGACGAGACACACACACAAATATTTCATTTGAGTGTAGAAAGAGCCCTAAGATTTTTCCCTGCAGATTTGAGCTGAAGAGCTAAGCTGAAAACTCTCAAGCTGGTGAATCCTCACACAGGAGACTTCTTTTGAGGACTTTGGGTCTCTTTCTTGAACGGTCACTTTTGTGAGTCCAAGAGATAAAATCTCAGTATCTTTGGGCTGCGTGGTATATTTCCTTCCTTCCCTTCCTTCATTCCTTCCTTCCTTCCTTCCTTCCTTCCTTCCTTCCTTCCTTCCCTCCCTCCCCTCCTTCCTTCCTTCCTCCCTTCCTTCCTCCCTTCCTTCCTCCCATTCTTTTTTTCTTTTGTGGTACTAGAAATTGGACTCAGGGCCACACACATACTAGACAAGCATTCTACTACTGAGTAACCACCTAGGGGTTACCTCCTAGGTAACCATAGGAGACCCCATGAAAAGGTTGATGATTATTTTTTCATTTCAGTAGAATACACACACACACACATATACAGAGAGAGAGAGAGAGAGAGAGAGAGAGAGAGAGAGAGAGAGAGAGAGCCTAATTTGTATCTCGAAATGTCCTTCAGTGTGGGTCCATCCACTGGAGCCTGGTTAACCGAAGTCCCATCCTTGAAACAGACTGTCTCTGCCTGACCCTCTGATTCTTCATCTGTTGACACAATTTCCTTAAATTGGGTTGGGATTTCTTACCCGTTCCATGTCTATAGTGAAATTTTATCTGGTTTGAGCTTGCCTGGCTATCTGGAAAACTCTGTTTCCCTGTGGTCATCCATGACCGCTGACTCTTACAATCTTTCTACCCCCTCTTCTGCAATGATACCTGAACCTTGGAGTCAGATGTTTGCTATAGATATCCTGTTCAGGGATAAGCACTCTGCAGTCTCTTGTTCTCTGCACATTGGCCAGTTGTGAGTATCTGTGTTAATCACCATCTTCTACATAAAGAAATTTCTCTTTTGAGAGTTGAGAATGCATTAATGTTTAGGTATAAAAGGAAGTTATTAGGAGCCAGTTTAATACTATAACTATTTAGTAGAAAACTAGTATTAGGTTCCCACCTATGCCCTGTGACCTGTTTAGCTTCAGGTTCCTAAGCCTGATAATCGGTGTCAAATATGGGCTCCATCCTAATGTCCGGACCTTAAAGCCAAGTAAAGAGTGGTTGGTTACTCCCATGATGTTCATGCTGCTCTTGCACTCGTGGGGCACAACTTGCCAGGCCAGTTATTGTAGTTCACACAATTCACAGCTGGGTAAGGTTGAAGATTATTTTTTCCTTTCAGTAGAACACATAACACCTTCCAGCACTATGGACAGTAGTCAGTAGGAGATGAGGGTTTGAAGTCAGCATCAGCTTGTTTTCCCATTTTAAAGCGATAATAAAAAGCTAAAGGTGTAACATGTATATTTTCTACTTATAGTCATAAAAGTCAAGAATACTCCAAAAAGAATTCGAAAATGAGAAAATCAGTATCTACAACAAGTGCTCTGAATATCACAAATCTACACGAACAGTAATTTAACAGATTATTTTGTTTTCTTTTATCTTACTGTTATATGAGACAGAATCTCATTTATTTCAGGCTGGCCTTGAACTCATTATGTAACTGAGAATGGACTTGAACTTGTGATCCATTTGTTTCCATCTCCCAAGCACTGTGATTATAGGCATGCACCACAATGTATGGTGTATTCAGTGTTGGGAGTCAAACTCAGGATGTCCTACCTGCCAGGCAAGAACTCTTTCAACTAAGCTAATCCTAGCAGCTAATTTTCTACCCCAATAGTTATAAAGTTGTACTCTGTTTGATCAGCCTATGGCCATGACTGTGGGGATTGTCCTGATTATTGGTTCATGGTGGCATCTGCCCTCATCTTTCTTTTTCTTGATAGACAGGAGAGAGTCAAATAGGGAATCCCTCAAAACCCAAAGGATGAGTCTAGAATGTGAGAACAAAAGGATTTCAGGAGTCACACTAGGGATGTATTTATGCCATTGACCTGGCTGAGGTTACCTGGGTCTTAAACCTGAACTTGACTCAGGCCAAATTTGTCTATTGACCAGTCACACTTTCCCATTGGGACAGATTTGAATTTCAATACACTGCTGATGTTCCAAAGTCCTTTCAAGTCCCTTCAAGTTTAGCAAATTATAAAGCTGAAGAGATACCCAGAGAAATAATCCAAGAGCACCCTGCAGGCCTCAGAGCCTTTAGAGCCATAGGACTGGATTCGTCTAGTTAGTACCACATTCTCTTAACTTGGATGTCCCATGCAACAGAGGGAAATCTACCTTCCCTACTCTAATAGGAAGCCAGCAAAACTCTTTATGTGTAAAGACATTGAGCGCAGTACAAAACAGAGAGCTGATACACATCCCACGTTACTATGATAATGACCTGATCTCCCTGTTTGCTAATGCTACAATCCAAACTCTCTCCTTTTCTTTCCATTCATTTATGTGAGTACCATTTTCCCCTTGACTGTCAAGTCTTCTAACAATATGTAATGAGTTACTTATTTGCTTTGAATGCTTTATTTCTCTTCTTCAAATTATAGAATGCGTCTTAACTTTGTGTGTCATTCTCTGATAGGGCCCATGCTAATCTCTGTGTTGTTCCAAGTTTTAGTGTATGTGCCTGCAAAGAGACAGCTTATTGATTTTCAAGAACGCTGGCTTTGGACTAAAGAACTCCATTTATAACACTATTTTTAAGATTTTTGTGGTCGCTATCTGTAAATTTGATCAGTCACCATAAACACTAATGATAATGTTTAAAAAGTACCTAGCACAGAGTTCAATCTTACTGGGACTTTAGTAAGTCTTAGCAAGTATTACGTTGGGTAATATTGCAGTTACTCTTCCTAATCCTACTGAAGATGACAGCTTTGTTAATTCTCCATCAAATCAGCCTTCCTTCCCCTATTCTGGATCTTTTTTTCTTACCATTCCAGGATATTCATTATTCTTATGAGGAACTTGGGTTGAGAAAGCCCCTAATTCCTCTCTAATTGGTCATTTTTTCCAAGCAGAGCTTTCTGTGAACCATCTTTTATTTTTTTAAACATATCTCATTTATTATTTTCATGTGTATGAGGGTATTGCCTGCATGTAGGTAGGTGTACCCATGTTGTGCAATGCCTGCAGAAGTTAGAAGAGGGTGTTGGTTCCCTTGGAACTGAAGTTACAGATGGTTATTAGCTGCCATGTGGGTGTTGGGAATTGAACCCAGGTCCTCCGCAAGAGCAGCCAGTGCTCATATCAGCTGAATCATCTCTCTAGTCCCTTTGAGAGCAATCTTTACCCTTTTCCAAAACAGTACTTTCCAGAATTTTAAAATCATTTGTGCTTATCAAGAAAATACTTTCAAATATATACTCCTATGCAGTTCCTATAAATTGTATGTACATATTACTATACTAATAATCCATTTGTATTTTTAAACAAACACAGAGAGAATCTTTTGAAAATGTGACAGACTTAAATATGTTCATTTGTTTTCTTTGGTGTCTTATGGGTCATCTTGCACACCCACTGGGTACACACCGTGACGTATTTGCTATAGAAGTTTATCGTGTTTTTGTAAATTAGCCTGTCTCATTTATCATTTAGTACCAAGTCACCTTCCTGTGAATGCATTTCACACATTCAGATGACTTTCTGTGGTTATGTTCATTGTCTGACTCTGCTAAGTGGAAATCTCTGGCTCTCTTGCTGGTCCTCTAACCCAGTGGTTCTTTAGCTCTTGTGTATGTCTAACTCATCTGGATAACTTTAAAAAATATCCCAGGCCCCATCTCAGACTATTCTGGGCAAAATTTCTGAGGGTCTGGTCCTAGGCAAAGAGGTGCCTCACTTCCTTAGCCCTCTGAGGTCTTGGACTGGAACAGGGAACTTTTTATTCAAGGTCTTGGACCCCATCTGGATGTTGGGGTGGTGGATCTTGAGAACTTCCTGTAGAGGGTCTTCATTGCTTCTGTTCCTTCTGTCATCCTCAGGTGCTTCTGGGAGAGGAGGGCCTCATTCTGCCCAGCAGCTCTGCCTGCACTGTCATCTGCAGATGAAAGGATGACTCGTCCCTGCTCTTCTAAAGATGAAGCTTTGCATTGTTCTCTAACTGTTAATAAAGCAGGTGTGGGAGCCACCCTGGTACAGCAGATGATTGACAGGAGGAAGAGAGGGGAGGAAGAGGCATAGAGGCTCCTGCCTTTAACTTCCCACTCTTTGAATAGTTCCTTATTTATCATTGTATCTTCAGAATCCCAACGGTAAAAGACTCATTGCTCCTGTTCTTCTGTTTTAAATGGAGGTGCAGGGGAAACAGAGAGACGAAGGCCATAGCAGTTTTGTTCTCCAGTATGAAACATTCTTAACCAGAGTGACATAGAATCCTTAATGACCTGCAGTGTCTGGAGAGAGGAATTCTTCCTTGAGTCTCTGTGTTTGTATGAATTCCTGCTCAACCACCAGAAAAGTTCTCCCTTCCCTTTTCATCCTCTGCTTTGGCTCTCCTTATGAAAGAACTTATTAAAAACCTGAATCTACTAACAGTTTCAGAGTTTCAGGCTTTACATTGAGGTCTTTGGTCCATTTGGAATTGACTTTTGTGCATGGTGAAAGATAGGGGTTTAGTTTCATTCTTCTACAGGTGGAGATCCAGTTTTGCCAGCACCATTTGATGAACATGCTGTCTTTCCTCCAGTGAATATTCTTGGCCCCGTTGTCAAATATAAGGTGGCGGAAATCATATTTACTCATATTTGGGTCTTCAATTTTGTTCCATTGATCTATGGGTCTATTTCTGTGCCAGGACCACGTTGTTTTTATGACTGTAGCTCTGTAACACAGCTTAAAATCTGGTATAGTAACCCCCCCCGGCATTGCTCTTAGTGCTCAGGGTTGTTTTGGCTGTCTGAGGTCTTTTGTGCTTCCATATGAATCTGATGGTTTTTTCCCAATTCTGTGAAAAAATGTCATGGGGATTTTGATTGGCATTGCATTGAATCTATAAATGACTTTTGGTAGGATGGTTATTTTCACAATATTAATTCTTCCAATCCATGAGCATGGGAGGTCCTTCCATCTTCTGATCTCTTCTTCAATCTCTATCTTTAATGATTTAAAATTTTCATTGTAGAGCTCTTTAATGTCTTTGGTCAGGTTTATTCCGAGATATATTTTTTTGCAGCTATTGTGAAGGGGAGTGTTTCCATGTGCTCTTTCTCTGATTGCTTGTTATTGGTATATAGAAAGGCTCCAGACTTTTGTAGGTTAATTTTGTTCTCTCCTGAGATGTGAGTTGACATGCAGGCACCTCAGATACATATTAAAGTAAACTACCAGTCAACTGCTACTGCTGAGGTCAAAGAGTATCTTTTACCCACAGTAGTTTCCCTTTGTCATTTTAAGGAGACACCTGGGCAGCACATATTTGCATAGGAGCAAGAAGCTCAAATGTACCCCTCTGACCTCCTCATAATGTTCTCTTCCCCACAGAGCAGGTAAGGACCCAGCTGGACACTACAGAGGTCCTTCAAGATCATCCACTCCTGCTTACCCTGGTCATTTCCACTATGTCTAACATGGTAGCATCCCTGGATGCCCTGTGGCATGAAGCTGACAAAGAGAAGCCTGAGATCCTGGTCCCCCAAATAGTGCGGCCTGACTTATAGAATAATTCATTAATCTGTTACAAACAGTTTGAGGATGTCTTTTGCTCTTGCAGAAAACAACAGGCATTGTGAGATGAATATAAGATTGGAAAGTTTAGGTACTGTGGTTAATGTAGTATTCCTGATCTTCGCAGAGCTAAATTGAGCACAAGGCACCAGAAGGAGTCAAACTTGTCATGACAGTGCCAGGGATCAAGGGACACACATACGTGGACTTATAGATCCAATAATTCCACATGTCTATCAATATGCCTGGCACTTGCTACCCTGACAGCTACTCAAAGTGTATGTGTATTATCCCCAAGGACCATTGATTCAGATGATGAAGGTGAACCTGCAAGGAAATAGTGACTGCAATGTAACAAATATTAAAAATAGAATCTTAGAAATGGAGGAAAATTCATTGGGAGTACAGGATACCTAAACTGTCTTGAGAAATCCAAGCTGAAATCTAAGCTGAAAGATGAAAGTATTTATGAGAGCACAGTGTATGTGGACAGCAATGAATGATTTACTCCCTAAAGTGTTAAGGTCAAGAGTGAGACATCCGTGTAGACAGGACAGACTGTAGTACATAGGAAGAGTCATACAGTGATGAGCGCAGAATAGAGATGCCACTCCTGCTGCATCCATGGAACATGTGTTACAGGAAACAGAGACAACCTCAAATACTGTTATCTAAGATGTTTCTCCCAGCCAGGTATGGTGGTACATACCTGTAATCCCCAACCTCAAGAAAGTCAGAACAGGGGATCAACAGCAAGTTCAAGGTCCGGCTGGGCCACATAGTAAGAATGTGGCTTAAACAGACAAACAAACAAACAAACAAAAAACCAGACAAACCCAAATGAATGGGTGCACAGATTTTCCCCTTGCCATTTACAAATATTTATTAAACATCTCCTCTGAGAAAATACTATCATGTCTTTGGGATTTATCAGAGCTTTGGTTTATAACTGAAATGTACTCTAGGTCTATGTGTTAAAAGCTTGGGTCCTGGCCAATGAGATGGCTCAACAGGTAAAGGCACTTTTCACCAAGTATGATGACCTGAATTCAAGCCCCAGAATCCACCTGGTGGAGGGCGAGTCAATACCTGCAAGTCTTCTGACCTCCACACGTATACAGCTACACATGCATACCCAACCCCCCAAATAAATAATTAAGAATATAATAAAAAACTAAAAAGTAGCTTGGTCCCCAGGGTGGCCTGTTGGGAGGTCCTTATGTCATTGAGTGTGTTCTGAAGGGTACTGTGAGTACCTCATCCCGCCTCACAAGATGAGAAGCTTTGCTCCATCATGTCCCCCCCCCCCCATCCCAGGGTATGTCCTGCTCCCTGGGGACAGCACATAAATGAGACCTCTCAGTCTTTGGCCAGAACTGCTACCACATGGCTTCCCAGCCTTGGGAGGGAAGTGTGAGAGTATACAGGCTGGGGAAGGCTAACAGAAGTGAACCCCTTTTTGTGGCTGAGGGGCCAGCCATCATCCATGCTGTGTGGCTGCTTTGGGTCACTCATGCTTCTGCCGATAACCCTTCACCTCGGCTCTGTTGAGTCAGTCTCAGAAATGCATTGGTTCCCCAGGATGAAATCTGGTGCAACTGTACTTTGCTTTTTTCTTTGGGAATTTATGAGAAGGGGGTAGATGTTGTTTATGTCTCCCCACACTTCCATTGTGCAAAAGGAAAATAAAATGGAATGAGAAGGTATTTGCAACATTTCAGGGTCATTCTTTTTTATTATTTTTATTTTGTGTGTATGGATGTTTTGCCTGAAGGTATGTAAGTGTACCATGTACGTGCATTGCCCTGCAGGACCCAGAAGGGGGTGTCAGATCCCTTGGAACTGGAGTTATGTACAGTTGTTAGCTGATATGTATGTGCTGGGAATTGAACCTGGGTCCTCTGGAAGAACAAGTGTTCTTAACTGCTGAGCCATCTCTCCTACGCCCATTTAGGGATTCTTGATGTGGGGG